TATTACTGCTTTTGCTGTATTTTGTATCAAATAAATGCAGGCTTGGTGAGCAGAAGAGAATTCTTTAAAAAACATAAAAAATCTTACTGTTCAAAATCTTTTGACTGGTAGTGTATATTAAAATGGTTAATACTTCATTCAAAGTAATTAAACATTTTTAAATAGACTGCAGCAATCATTAAAGAGAATCGTGATCTCAATTCCCATGGAGAAAAATCGTGATTCACATTTTAGCAAGAATCGTGCAGCCCTAATGGTGACTATGGGGCTATGTAAAATATTTTTTACAACTTACTAGGTTTATCATTTGTAATTTTTTCCCGATAATGTCGATAATCGTCTGTTACTTGACTGTTGACATCGACATCGCGATACTTACGAGACATCAAATTGCCCAGCCCTACTCTCTGATTTCCACCAAAGTCAGCACAGAAAATACCAGAAGTCTATAGATTCTTTGGGGCCGTTCATTCTAATGCTCTATTTTTCCAATGTTTTTCCTGTGTAAACATGCTGCATAGAATCTTTAAAATGTCCAAGAGTTTTACACACCGGTCTGTTGTTGTGGGGACATTTCCACTCCCCTAAACATGACGCGGCACAAAACGGAACGTGATTGGTTGCTTAACCTTCTGCCATCAGTATGAAGGTCTGGCTACGCGAGACTAGACGTGTATGACCACTACGCTTGTGTCTCGCATCTTCAGCAGCGTCTCACACGACTGTTGCGTTTTTAGTGTCAAGTTAAAAGAATTTCCACTTTTACACGCAGTGCCACTCAATGTCAGTTACGAAAGAGTGGACCAATCAGAAGACTTGAGGCGGGGCACACATTGCCAGCTTTTGTTTACAGCAGCATGTTACATAGCAACAGTTTTATTTGACGGCAACATGGCAGAGGAGGCATTCTGCGCTGCACTTAAAACCATTCCTGAGTGATGCGTCTCACATTTTAGACGCAAAGACGTGTTCTGTGTGAACAGCCCCTATCAGTGTATAAAAGGAAATCAGTATATCTAACAACATCCACCCACATTACTAAGTTCATAATCATAATTAGATGTGGTTGAATATAAATATTTAAATGTATTTATGTAATTGCTGCAACACATCAGTGACGAGCAACATGATTCACATGTAAATGTTCTCTTGTATAACAGCATGTGTAGTTTTCATGAAGTTACTTCCCTTGGGCAGGTTCCTTTTAATGTTGCATGCAAACCTAAATTGAAAACGTAATTCTATCACTGATTCATAGCAAAAAGAAATGTGCATCATAAAATGACACTCATTTTAATTAAACCTATTACATTATTTAATCAAGCTACTCCTATTTAAACACACCATGGTGCTCAAAACACCTTAGACTAAATGCTGTTAATACGGAGACGACTTCTCATTGTCTCCAGCTCTTAATGTCATCCTGGTACAAGCAGTCAGCAGTTTTGTTCTGCTCCATCAAATTTTCCTGGTAGTGTCCTGGATCTTTTTTCATATAGCATTCATGAGAACAAGGATTCAGAGTAAAATGCTAATCCTCACTCAGCTCCCCACAGTGTGCATGATGTCAGCACTTACGAGACGCCCCAACATCCTGTCTATCACGCGTGCTTCAGTATTTGTGTAGTAAACAAAACCGCGTCTCCGCCATTCATTCATACAGAGGCAAGCGGAACATGCAGGATTCATATTTAAACCGTCTTTTTGCATTTTAATATTCACAGACACTAGTTCATATCGCGATTCGAATTAAGTGGCAGTGGCTACTTTTGATTTATTCGTCCAAAATTGGCGAATTCCGTGGCATTCTGCGCTATAGAGTAAATCACGTTTTTATGAATGGACTCCACAATCCCGTCAGTGTTTTCGCAGAAACCATATGGCCCTAGAAATGTAACCACACTTCAGAACATTTCGGCTTGCCCTGTGTATTGTTTGAACGAGTTGCAGGGGTGACATCACGTTACAGGGTCTCTCTTTCGCTGTCTGTAGCGTATGCGCCCAGATGCGTTCTCAGGTACCGAAATTTGGCACAGATTGATTTAACGTGAATCGGTACTCGGTAGTACCGACGCAATTCGGTTGGTACCTTTAAAAGTAGAGCCCGACCAATATGGGTTTTTTTGGGGCCGATACCGATATTAGGGAGTAAAAAAAAAAAAAAAAAAGACAGATAACGATATACCGGCCGATATTTTT